GGAGGCCCTGGGCTTGAACCCCTGTATTGCAAACAAACAAAAAAAAACAGTTAAAAAAATTCTCAGATTTCATTTGCATGACTGGTGAGAAACTCAATCGCAGTTTTTATTGGGTTCTTTTGACTTCCCCAGAGTCAACAAGTGTCCAAAATATTTGCAAAACAAACCAGGAGAAGAGCTTCTAGTCTTCAACTCAGTGACATTTTTTTTTCACTGTCCTCATTGTCCAAGCCCACATAATTACTAGCAGAAAGCAGATCCATTGCAAGTGAGGCAACTGTGGTCTATGCCCAGGTGGGAGCTCCCGTGCTTAGGGCCTCATGTCCTCATTCCTCTTGAGGCTCTGCCACTGGCCCCTTCTGCTTGTAGAATCCACAGTCAATTGAGCTTTTCCTCCCAATTTGGAGGAATCTTCTCTCTCATTGTGTTCTTCCTTATAGAATTCCCCCAAGGAGCTCTGGCTTTGTAAAAACAGCTGCCAAGAAGACAGGCTGTCTACCAGCAACTTGAACTTTACAACTTCTGCAAGGGAGTTTGTACCAAGAGGCCTGAACACCTGCATGGAGTTGGGCAGGGAAAAGACAGAACACAAAACCCAAAGGAATATTCCCATAAATGATCCTGCATTACTGCTACTGTTAATAAATGGCTAACGTCATTGAGCATTACTTTCTGCTCATGTGGATTATCAAATTTAATTCTCAAAACTTCACCATATTTAAAGATTAAGCAACTGAGGCTTGGAGAGTTTGAATAACTTTGCAAGTAGTAAGTAGCAGAGCTGGGATTGGAATCCAAATCTGTTTGGTTCTAAAGTTCAACCCCTATGCTATTTTTTCTTTCCTGCAGGGTATTTCATTTTGAGCGCAGTGAGCTGCCAGGATAGGTTAGTTGCAGCATGAGCTCCCAGAGAGCTCAATGAATTCATCCATGGAATACCACTGCTCACAGTTCTCCATCTGGTTGTCAGAGTGCATTTGCCAAAACTCAAGCACAACAGTGCTGCTTTGGGTGTAATTAATGTTTAGACAATAACTGGTCAGCATGTTCAGCTGCTTCTTGAGGTCACTCCTGGGATATGAAAATAGAGCCCTGTATTGGCGTAAACAGGATGTTTGTTTTCTTTGTGATCTATCAGGAGGCCATTATCTTGGCCATTCAGAAGTTACACTAAATTGCTCAGGTGCAGATTCAAAAAGGGAGAAAGATACCATCCAGCCTAGTTTTGTGCTGTTTGAGATAGAATATTGATGGATCTGAAATTCCTTTCCACTCAGTATGATTCTTTTTAAAATTTTTTTGTTGTTGTAGATGGATGCAATACCTTTATTTTATTTATTTACTTTTATGTGCTGCTAAGGATCAAATCCAGTGCCTCACACTTGCCAGGCAAGCTCTCTACTACTGAGCTAGAACTGCAGGCCCTCAGTATGATTCTTGATGTAGTATTTTAATAAAGCCCCAAAAGAACATCTAGATCAGTTTTTAAAAATTGTATAGGGTATCCTACCAATAATTCCTATTTTGGGAGTCAATGATATAATCAATGAATCAATACGTAGTCATACATGACCCTGATACCTAGCCTCATCCATCACCTCCTGCTTCTGGGCATGATGGATGATTCAAAAACAGGTCGTTTTACTTAAGTTGTTCATAATATTCATTAGGGGTTTGCACATATTCTGGACATCAGTATCATTCCTGAAGTTTGTCAAAAACAGAGCTGCTTGGGCCCCACTATAGACCAACTCAATCAAACTGTCAAAGAGCAAAACCCACACACATTTGTATTTAACCAGCTCTTTAAGTGATTCTGATACTCATCAAAGTTTTTGAGCCAGCCATATTGTTGGTGTTGTTTTGGTAATGTAAACTGCTACAATAAAAATATCTCAGAAGATATTTAACTAATGTATCACCTATAAATATTTTCTGAGATATTTTATATCTCTGAATACATGTGTGTATGTATATTCAGAGACCCATTAGTCTCTTATTTGCATGTATGTAGTTGAAATGTACCTGCAGATAACTATACATCTATTATTTTAAATAATAATCAACATTTATTGAGCATCTATATGCATCAGGCACCATTAATTCATTCACCAAGTATTTGTTAAGAGCCTACTAGAGGCCAGGTACTGTTCATCAGAAAATGAAATGGCTGCAAGTTCCTGCCCCCCAGGGAGCTTACATTTTAGTAGGGAAACACCAACAATAAAATTAAATAAGGCAGTTGTATGACTGCCAGTGCGATGGCAGGAAGTAATTTGATTGTAACTCAGAATAAATAGGATGCCAGAGGAAGATTTGAGGGAGGAAAGAGAGTGAATCCTATGGGATTTGAAGCACAACTGTTGTTTGGGAACAGGAAGTGCAAAAAAACAGGTTTGGGAAAATAGGAAGTGCAAAACCCCGCCCTGAGGAAGAGGATCACAGTAGCTTGAGAAAACAGTGAGGAGGCTGAGGCTGGGATGCAATAGGAGATGGGTCAGAGAGGGAAGGAGTGGGCAGAGGTCTGGATCTTGTAAAGGTCTGTAAGCCATTGGAAGACTTTGGCTTTTACTCTGAGAGGGATGGAAAGGGTTCTGAGTCTGGAAGGACTTAATCTGGAAGGTTTTAATGAGCTCTTTCTGGATGAGAATAGGGTGTTGGGAGTGAGCAAGACTGGAATCATTTAGGAGGCCACAGTAGTAATCTATAAAAATGAGTGGGTCACAATGGGAGCAATGGAGGTGGGGAGCAGAGCTTGGATTCCGGGTGTACTTTATTTTTTTTTTAGTTGTAGTTGGACACAATACCTTTATTTTATTTATTCATTTTTTATGTGGTGCTGAGGATTGAACCCAGGGCCTCACATATGCTAGGCGAGTGCTCTACCACTGAGCCACAACCCCAGCCCTCCAAGTGAACTTTTAAAAATTATTTTTTAACTCATGTACCACATCAGGAAATTTCATTCAACAATGGACCATGTATACAAAGGTAGTCCCATGAGATTTTAAATGGAGTTGAAAAATTCCTATTGCCTAGTGATGTTTTAGTCATTAGAATGTGACAGTGTAACACATTACTCACCTGTTTATGGTGCTGCTCCACCACTCATATAAGAATATAATATAAACCAGGCATGGTGGTGTGCACCTGTAGTTGCAGATATTTGGTAGGCTGAGGCAGGAGGATGGAGAGTTTGAGGCCAGCCTTGGCAACATATTGAGACCCTGTGTCAAAAAGCATAAATATAGCACATATAATTATGTACAGTATATAATACTAATAATGATAAAGGACAACTATTCTTCTGGTTTATGTGTTTATGATATTATATTTTTTATTGGTAATTTAGAGTATACTTATTTTTTAAAAGTTTACTTAAATAGTATGCTGGGTTAAGCTAGCAGCAGCCTCATTCATCTAATATTTACTGTGTCTCTTAATTGCATCAAGAGACTATATTAATTGATGTCCCTACTATACCATCTACGTCTGTGTGAGTACACTCTATTATCTTCATACAACAATGAAGTCAACTAATGATGCATTTCTCAGAACTTTTCCCTGTCATTAAGAAACACATGACTATCATTGACAGAAAATCATTTGTATATATTTATGGGGTACAATGCGGTATTTCAATCATTAGAGGAATATTCAATCAAGCTAATTAACATACATATTACTTCACCAATTTATCTTTTTTGTGGTGAGAATGTTAAAAATCTATTTTAGCCATTTAAAAATATATAATACATTATTATTATTAACTGTGGTCACAATGCAGTCCACTAGATCAATAAAACTTATTCCTCCAGTCTAACTAAAACTTTGTACCCTTTAATCAACGTCTTTGCTTTCTCAGGCACATCCATTAATTTTGCTGATGGTTTGGATGTGGAGTGTAGGAAGGGGCTACAAAAGGAGGGTTTCCAAGGATGCTGAATGTGAATGTGGATTGTGTACTCACTTGGTGGCCAGATCTGGTTCTAGGCATGAAACAGGATTTGATCCCAGGAAAATGACTCATATTCTTGTTTGTAAACCATTTCCTGTGAACTTAAAATTAGAGAATTTTGCTGGGCACCATGGTGCATGCCTGTAATCTCATCTTCCTTGACCAAACAAAAGATAGGGATAGTGAAAATATATTTCATTTTTTAAGGTATTTCAAAACACATCTATGGGGGCTGGGATGGTGGCTCAGTGCTAGCGTGCTTGACTAGCATGTGTAAAGCACTGGGTTCAATTCAATTTATACTGCATATAAATAAATAAAATAAAGGTCCATTGACAACTAAAAAATATTTTTTTAAAAACACATTTATGTAAACCATCAAAAAAATCTTTCCTAAGGTTGATAGTAAATATATTACTACCCTCATTTGAGGGTTCAGGAACCTGAGATCTAGAATAGATAAGTGATATGGGAAGGGTGAACTCTGTTAGATCAGACCTTCTATTTTATGACTTTGTATAGGCTGATGTGTAGTGAGTGGACTTTGATCCAGGGAACAGAAGTGTGTTGCAGGGGGTGAGAGGGTTGACACTTGGGTTACTTAAATATGAATGATCTAGCAAAATAATTTGAACTTCAATAATTTCAATAATTTGAATTCAAAATAATTTGAATTTCAATAATTCAGGCTTCTTGACTTCTCTCTGCTTTCTCTGTTCATCTGGTCATTTTATTTCCGAATAGTAATTTTCACTGAAGGGTGGGATAGAGATAAAAATATATGAAGGTCACATTGGGTAGGTGGAGAATACTTTTTACAAAAGCCTTAGTGGAGAATGCAGTTGTAATTAGCACTAAAATGAAATTCTTATTTCCCAGTGGGTTTAGGTTTGCTTTACTCTCCTCATCCTTTGTTCCTATAAAAGGCTGTGTTCAATTATGCCAAGCACCTAGTCAGCCTATGCTCCTTTATTCTTGCCCACGAAGCAATGTTTGCACCAGGGCACCTGGTAACAGTATTTAATACGTTTGACTGTTTCAGTTTGCAGTGATGATCTCACCCACAAATTCAAAGGTTTCACTGTGATGAATGAAGCAGAAAGGTATGAAGCTCTCAGACACTGTCGCTATGTGGACGAAGTCATCAGAGATGCTCCATGGACTCTCACACCAGAGTTTCTGGAAAAACACAAGGTACTTTTCATTCTCCGGTATTCTCTAAATAGTAAGATTAGGAAGTCTGGTTCTGCAGCAGATGCTGCAGAATGCCCCTAAACACTTCCAATTTCTAAAAGAGGTAACTTTGGGAGCTGTCATGTGGTGTCACTTGCTATAGCACTTCTCTTCTGCCTGATCCTGGGGACTGCTGTCTTATAGATGCTAGAACTAGACTACCCAGGTCCAAATGCTGCCTCTGTCTTCTTCTAATTGTGGAACCTTGAGCAAGATATTTAACTGCACTACTCTCTTACCTTTTCTGTAAAATGGGATGACATTGGTATCTTCTTCATGGGGCCCTTATTGAGAACTTCATGAGGTAATGTAAGTAAGTCAAACACTTGGAAGACTGGCTGGTCTATAGCAAGAGCTGCAAGGATGTCATCATAATCACCATGACTGCCATCATTATTGCTTGCACATTCACAGGCATCCTTTTATATGGAACAAATGAACACACATCTTATCCAAGTCAGGGGCCAGCCTTTAAGGAAAGAACTTCCTATTTCTGATTTTGTGACCCTAAGATTCCTACTGACATAAGATTTTTATTAGTTGAAAACATGAGAAATTCTTTTGATCTGCATCAAATTATGTGCTTTGTATCTCCATACCAGCCCCACATTAGGAGCTATTCTTTCCTCTCATAAGCAGTACAAAAAAATAAGATTAAGCTGTTCTAAGAATTTTCTTTTCTATTTTTAAATTCACAATGCAGAAGAGAATAGAGAACAGTGATAAATGTGCATGGGTAATAGCAAAGGAGACAATTTTCTAGTGAGAATGAAAAGAAAAGGGAAAAACTACAATATGATTTACTTCCAGTAATCACTAACATTTTTACTAAGCAGCTATTGTATATTCAACAGTGATAGGCATTATAGGAGATAGTAATAATGATAATGATGGCTGCCATTTATTTACCTTGTGCCCAGCACTCTGCTAAAGACTTTGTTATTATATGAATCAAATTCAATCTCATGACTATCCTAAGAAGTTATTATTAGTATACACTGGAGAGGAAGAAATAAGCTTGAGTACTGAGAATATAATTAATAATAATTTATTAAGTCCTTACTACATGCCAGTAATTATTTTTAGGAATGATTATATATTTATGTCATTTAATCCAGTGATTCTCCATATGACAATGTCTGGAAACAGTTTTGGTTGTTATAGCTAGAGGGTGCTACTGGCATCTAGTGGATAAAGGCATGGGATGCTGCTAAGCATCCTCCAACTTACAAGACAGTCTCCCACACCAAAAAGTTATCCAGTCCCCAATGTCACTAATACTGAGGTTGAGAAATACTGATGGAATCCTTCCCACCAACTTTGGAGTTGTGTAGCTAGCAAGTGGTAGGACGAGACTCATACCCCAGCAAATTAAACTGCTACACAAAACTACCTCTCAAAATTGAGTGAAAGGCTTTGAAAGCTGTGACAAGAGTTTACTTGATATAATAGAAAACAGGGGTGAAAATTAGCAGGCATTCTGAAGAAGACCAGAAAGAAATTTTGTTTAAGGATGACACCTCTTGTAACTACAATGAGGAGGTCCCAATACAAGTTGGTGTCAGTAATCCAGGTGACAGGGGCCTGGATTTGTTATAGTATCAATGGAGAGGAAGTGATGGGCACAAGCCCATGAGTGCATGTGCGTGCGCACACACACCAATGGAACCTGTGGCCTATGTGCTATGGAAAGTGAAGGAAGTAGGGAAAGAAGGTCAATTCCAAGATTTTGGTCTAGGAAAATAGACAAAGGAGGTGCCATTGGAAGTGGGCCCAGTTTTCAGGAAGATGAATTTAATTCAGAACAGGTTGATTTTAGAGTGACAGCAAGAAATGATAAAAGAGAAGAAGGCCTCAGTAAGAGTTAAGAAAGCCTGGCCTGGTTCCCCAGGTGCCCATTCCCATTTCTAAACCACCAATCAGCTATGTGACTTTGGGCATATCTAAGAAGTTATCTCATTTCAGCACTTATGTCCTAACTGAAGTAGTACTATATGCACTACTCACTTCACAAAGTTAGGAGGATCAAATGAAAAAACAGACAAGTTCATTTTCATGATATAAAATATGACCTAAGTATGAGTGACTATTGTCTCATTGGGACAGAAAATGGAGACTTGGGTTCCTTTTCATAGCAAGAAAAGTCTGAGAAATGGATAAGTTCTCTGAAGGAGAAAGTTTAAAGGCAAAAAAAAAAAAGATCAAGAAAACTTATTGTCAAAGGTAGAAACCTACTGTCATCAAAGGAGAGGAACCAAACATTTATTCTTCCAGTTCCGGTTATCTCTTGGAAATGGAGACAGTTGTAAATACCTTTTAGTCAAGGATTCAGATCTTTGCTATAAATGTAACATATGATTGCCCTATTTCAAAAAGGCATTTAAAAAATTAATAGACAAGTGAAAGGAAGTCTAATAGAAGAAGAAAACTGGGAGAGGGGAGGGAGGATGGGAGGAAGGGAGGAAAAGGAATGATCATGAACTGAAATCAATTTCCATGCATGTGTGAGTTTGTTGAGATGAACCCAACTACTATGTATAACCATAAAGCTCTAATTTTTTTAAAAAAATGTGTTTTGGAGGCACCAGTTCTTTTTGAATCTTCAGACATGAACATCCATTCTATTGGTGATGTCACTCTTCTTTCCAACAGATTGACTTTGTGGCTCATGATGACATTCCATATTCTTCTGCTGGTTCTGATGATGTTTACAAGCATATAAAGGAAGCAGGTGAGGCATCCCCCTGTGATCATCTGTCCACCACACCAAATAATCAGGTGTTAGAAGAGACATCTGCCCTAGGACTACAGCATAGATATACAGGGCACTGGAATGTCAGATGTCTCCCAAGCAACTTCTACAAGCCTCTGTTGACATGTGCTAAGGCTCAATCATGGCACAGACACTATTAAGACATTTATATAAGAGTTAACCAGGCCTGGTATTGTGGCTCAGTGGTAGAGAACTTGCCTAGCATGTGTGAGGCACTGGGTTTGATTCTCAGCACTGCATATAAATAAATAAAAAATAAAGGTATTTAAAAAAAAGAATTAACTTGAGCACCAAAGTACTCAGCTTCAGGTCTGAGGCTCAATTTTATGGCTCATCAGATTAAAATCATAAAATGGGCAAAACCATCCCTGTGTTAATTTCATGACTTTCCCATTCCAGGGTTTATGGTCAAACATTCTGTAGACTGAGTCTGCTCAGCCTCTGGTTCTTAATAATTCCAGGGACATCTTTGAGATTTAGAAAAATATTTTCATGCTTGCCTTTATTAACTCTTCTTTTTCCAGTGAGCCTTAAAAACAGCCTGTGTTAGAAGTCAAAGGTTTAACACGTTCTCTTGTAATCTCAGCTATATGTACCTCCTATTGAAATGATGGAGGTCTTAGTATTAGTGGGAACAGCGCCTCAGAACAGACATGATGCTAGAAGTGAAAATGACACTGGATAAATAGTTCAGGGAATTATTCTGTTACATAGAAAGTACTGATTCTCCACAATGGTGTTCTGGCTTATTCCCACTTGTTTGGGGTCAATTAGGGAAGTTCCATGCCATTCCCAGCAGGGATGATAGTCAGGCTTGTACCATCCTCTTAGTAATGGCTTCTCAGGGTTCAGGAACATTGGATAGAAATGTGAGCACTGACATTCTTAAATCCCAATCTTATTTGCAAGGAGTTCTGAAAAAAAGGAAATTCTTTACACTTCAATCTTGGAAGGCTTCTGAGAAGCCAGAAAACACAGTATGGGAAGAAGGGGAAAAGAAATGGTCAGTTACATGAAGATGGATTTTATGACATGGGGTGATTGAAGACTTTTTTTAAGTCTTCATAAGATCTGAGCAGTGAGTCACCTGCCCCTTCCCTAAAATTACCATAAGGACCTCTGTTTTTTCAAACTTAAAGATGCCTACACATCATCTGCAGGATCTTGTTAAAATTCAGATTTGGATTCAGGAGGTCTAATGGGGCCTGAAATTCCCATTTTTAATGAGCTCACAGGTTGCTAAATGCTGCAGATCCATAGACCTTATTTAGAGCCCCATGGATCTAGATGAGCAATTAGGGTCCAGCCATATATCCCCCAAGGCTAACTGAATCACTTGTTTCCTGGGATTACTCAGCTACCTTGCAATGTAGGAACAAGCATTAGGTGCTGATTTTCTTTTGCAGTGAGTGACCTCTAGTGAGTGAAAAATAAGTTGCTTTTCTGATTTTAGGGAATAAAATCAATGCCGAGTTCCAATTGGGTACTGGAACAAGTCCAACACTTTTCTAACTCTAGCAATCCAGCATCTCTATTGTTGAGTAACAACATGAGTCCCAAATTTAGTGGCTTGAAAGAGTCACTTTATTTTTCTCTTGATTTTATGGGCAGGATTTTAACAGAGGCTCAGATGGGTGCTTCTTGCTTGGGCCTCTCACATAGTTGTAATCTGATGTTGGTAGGGGCTACAGTCCTCTGGAAAGCTATTGGGCTGGGGCTCCCAGCTTGCACACTTACATGGCTGGCCTTGGATACTGGTCAACAGGGGGCTCAGTCATGTTTGTCATTGGAGTACCTAAACTTGGTCTCTCAATGTTGCTTGGGCTTCTCACAGCATGGTAAACTGGGAGGAACTATCTAGAGCATGAGCAATCTGGATAGAAGCCACAAGACTCCTTCTGACCTACCACTGGAAATCACACAGCATCATGTCCCTTTCTATACAGTACAAGCAAGTCACCTGAGCCAACCCAAATTCCAGGGAAGGAAAGGGAATTATGGCCATTTTTTAATCCACCACAATTCCTTTTCCATATTAAATAGTCAAGTGGTATTTTACTTGTTCTGGGGCCTAAGATTCTGTATGACTTGTCACGTACATGAGGACTCTTCMTTCTGGTCCATTAATCTGATCTGCTGATTTCTCACCAGGAGGGAAAGTCAGTAAAGATCTATTTGGGGCCTAGGTAGAGAGGACCAGAGTTCATTGTGGATAAAGATGCTCAGAAAAGGTCTGAGCATCCACATTTGACTTTTACACTCTAATTGTGGCTTGTTTTGAGAGTAAAAAATCACTTTAAATGAAGCCAGAGATATCAAGAACATGAATTAAGCTTTACAACACTCTGCTCTGCTTGTCAGAGCTACACGTCAAAATCCTCTAGCAAGGCTGGGTGAAACGATGGAGCTGAAATGAATTAGACTGTAAAGTCCACATTACTCATCATCATTCTAATATTGCCTACTACTGTTGAAAGTTTCCTTCATTAACATGTGCTTTGCTGCTTCTTAAAATAGCTCCATAACCAAATGCTGCAGTTCTGAAAAGCATGATAAAAAAGGTTCTCTGATCATGCTCATTACTGAATATTTTTAGAAGAGCAATAATTAGGATTTGGAGGAAGCCGGGCGCCTCATTATGTCAGCAGAGGGCTTGGCTTCTTTCAGAGACCTACCCCCTAACCAGCCAAAGTAAATCTCTCCCCAACCCCAAACCTACTTTCAGTTACTCAACCACAGACACTTCACCCTCTGGCTTCAAAGAAAGGGTGAGCTCATGTCACCAATGTCTCAATGACTTTCTAAAATCTGTTCATAGCTAGAGTCCTCTTAACATCACAGCAGACTAGAGTATGGGAGAAATATCTACCTGCTAAAAGATGGAATGAATTTCTCACGAGAAAGCTTTCCACTGCTCCCACCAAGGTGGGGATGTTGTTCCAGCACCTACCCCCCGACACCAGCTTGAGACTACTCAGGGTTCCTCTACTCACCAGAGCACCCTACACACTTGGGTCAGTTTCAGTGCTATATATGTCCATGTGTTTAGATATTTGCACCCTCTGCCTTCCATTTATTTTTCTGTTTTTGATTCCACTCTCCTAGAGGGTGATAAAACAAAGTTTTTCACCTGGTGGCAAACCCTAACTCAGTCCTCTGAGTCACAGAACATGAAAAACTGAATGTTCCGTCCCTAACATCAGCAGCACCACTAGTAGATGACATCAAAAGAAAGTTTCAGAAGGGACATCCTAGTTGGGTTTAGAAGACTGAAAAATTCAGGATGAACCAGGTCATTGAGGGATCAATATTCATCTAGTCATTCATTCAACAGTGTTCCTATAGTGTCTGCTTGTCACCCAGTGCTAAGAACATAGAAGAGTTTCTTCTCTCATGTATCTTATAGGCAGGTGGAGGAAACAGTTACTGAAAAAGTTGTTCTATAAAAATCTTGCAGTATTTGAAGGCAAAGAGCAATGGCACATGGGAGGGAATAACAAACAAAAAGTCCTGGTCTGGGGTTGAGGGATTTCCTTGAGGAAGTAACACCAGACTGAAACCCAAAGAATGACCAAGAGTTAACCAGATAGATTGTGTTTCTGACAGAGTTAGCAGAGGAGAGCCAACATTTTCAGAACACTAAAGTTCAGTATGGCTGGGCCAAGGCAGGCACAGTGTATTTCCCAGCTCCTTAGAATACAACAAGAACAAAATCTGCAGATCTGCAGCACAGGAGTCTTACTTTAGGGAGTAAAGGGGAGAGGGTCTGAGTTGAGGCTAGAAAGAAGCACAGAGAAGAGATCATGCAAGCTGCTTCAGAACCAAATTAAAGATTGGGCTCTAAATTCAGAGGACAGTGGAAAGCCAATAAAGGGGTCTGAGCAGGCAGATTTCAAAAGCTCACTCTGAGCCAGGCATAGTGGCACACTCCTATAATCCCCGAAACTCAGGAGGCTGAGGCAGGAGGATCCAAAGTTCAAAGCCAGCCTCAGCAATTTAGAAAGATCACTCTGAGCCAGGCATGGTGGTGCACACCTATAATCCCAGTGGCTTGGAAGGCTAAAGCAGGAGGATCGCAAATTCCAGGCCAGTCTCGGGAACTTAGTGAGGTCCTAAGCTATTTAGTGAGATTCTGGGCATGTAGATCAGTGGCAAAGTGTCCCTGGGTTCAATCCACAGTACTGAAAAAAAAAAAAATCACCTTGTAGATCTTGTTATGTGGGTTGAAGTGGGATGTCACTTAGTGATAGAGCACTTGTCTAGTTTTCATGAAGCCCTGGGTTTCATCCCCTGCATCACACACACACACACACACACACACACACACACACACACACACGGTATCACTGGAGACTGCTTTTGAGGCTCTTGCTGTGATATTTGAACGAGATTGTGTTGGATTGATTAAGGATAAGAGAGGGAAAAGGTGGGTGAATTAGGAAAACTTTTTGAAAAATAGGTTGGTGATTGGAAATTGACCAGATATGGGGACCGAGGGCAAGAGAAAAGGCATAGATGAGTCCCAAGTCACTGTATCCAGCTACCCCATCTCTCAGTTAAGAAGACTAAGGTTAATAACTTGCCTTCCTAGGGTTTGAATGACTTGCCCAATCCTGTAAATTGAGGACATGCTACCTTTGTCCCTGGGCTCTATCATGCTGTCCCATGTGTGATGTCTCTAAGTGGTTGTAATGATATTGGGTAGAAAGATCTCGGTTGCCAACATATTATTTCAGTTGACAACAGAATTTTGAGCATGAATCCATTTCTATATTAATATTTATGACCTCTTTATAGCCTGTATTGGTTGGCATACACAAACATATCTTTGAAGACTTTAAGAAATTCTAATAGAACTATTACATCTTGGCACCCTCCATGTTTATTTTACTCAGTCCTGTGTATTCCACATGAAAGAGCTTTTGAGTGGTAAAACTGCCATGCAGAGTAGACTCTTGGATAAAATCATCCAGAACCCCACAGACATGTTCTTAGAACAGAGATAACAAAAACAGTATATTTTCTCTTCTTTTCCTTCAGTATAACATGACACAGACTTCCTTGGAAGAGGAGGAGTAGCTGTGATGTGACTAATTCATTGACTCAGTTATTCTTCACTCACTTACTCACTTTATTTGCATTTATTGAGCACCTTCCATGTGCTAGACACAGGGGCACTGAGCTGAGTGCTGGGGATTAAAAGACAAGGCATAATCTGTGCCTTCAAAACGTCTGTTTCTATGTGGAGTCAGATATTAAAAATCCCTTTGTTAACAAAATATGTGCTTATGTCTAAAATGTTGTAGATTCTGCCTGGTAATATCAGGAAAGACTTCCCAAAGGTAGAACCTTGAAGCTGGACCATGCAGGATAAGGAGGAGCTCTGTAGTTGATATGGGCAGGGAAGTGTTATCCAAGGCAGAAAGGATGGGCTTGGCATGAGTCAACTCAGGAGCCAGATGAGTGTGTGGTGCACCTGGAAACAGGCCTTATGGTAGGGGGCAAGTGTTTGGAACTGAGGCTAGAAGAGTTGGGGCCAGACCTGAAGGCTTTCCTGACAAAGTAAGAGTTCCAACTTTGTCCTGGAAAGGAGGACCATGAAACAAAATGAGTCAACCAAACTAATCTTAGTTTTATCTCCTCTCCTGTTTGAACAGGAATGTTTGTTCCAACCCAGAGAACAGAAGGCATCTCAACATCAGACATCATCACCAGAATTGTCCGGGACTATGATGTTTATGCCCGACGCAATCTCCAGAGAGGGTACACAGCCAAGGAACTGAATGTCAGCTTTATAAATGTAAGCATGCCCCTCCACATCCCCTGAGGACCACCACATTACACCTCCACCACTACCACTGCAGTCATCTACCAAGGGGTTACTATGTGCCATGCAGTGTTCTAAATGCCTTGTATTAGATGGGTGCTGTGGCACATGCCTCCAATCCCAGAGACTAAGGGAAGCTGAGACAGGAGGAACACAAGTTTGAGGCTAGCATCAGCAAGTGAGACTCTGTCTCAAAATAAAAAATAAAAAGGACTGGGGATGAGGGATTTAGCTCAGGGGTAAGTGCCCCTGGGTTCAATTCCTGGTACTAAAAATAAAAACAAAGCTGTGCATTTATTGTCCCATTTAATCCACATAACAACCCAATGATGTGTTTTTATCCCCATTTTACAGATGAAGAAACCAATTTCCAAAGGGGTAACGTAAGTTAACCAATAAGCTTCCTCACTTCCCTTCCCTCATCCCAACCTCCCTCTTAAGTTTTCAGACCTGAGTAAAGGTTTTCTGGGAAATCTTGCCCCTTGCAAAAGGCAAGATTTGTCTTTTGCTTAAAGGGAAAGAAGGAGGGTGAGGGGAAGCAATGAAATGCTAAGCCCAGAGAAAATGCTTTCTTGTTTTAACATTTAAAATTTTTCATTTTCTTTAGGGCTTACAGCTGCTCATTAGAAACCTTAACAACCGTTTTTTATTGTCCAGAGAAATTACAGCTGCTTAAATAAAGTCTAAAGTCTTTGACCTCTTTTTGTATTTCTACCGTATTGTTCCCACAGAGGTGTTGTTAGTTTAATAATAGAGCAACTGTTAAAACAATCTTTAAAACAAGCAAAACAAGCTGTTCCAAAGCAAAAGGGCAGCCCCATGGCTGGAGGTGATGTTAGCAAGTCTGGACAACTGTATTTGCCTGGCCTCCAAGGAGCTGATACCTTTGATGAAAACAAGAGTCCTCCATACATACAGAATTCCAACTCCCAGAAATAGATACTATACTTTGAAAGAGTGATTTGTCTTCAAAACTATGTATTTACACCAGGTGGTGCACACCTGTAATCCCAGCTATTGGGAAGGCTGAAGCAGGAAGATCACAAGTTCAAGGCCAGCAACTCAGCAACTTAGCAAGACCCTGTCTCAAAATAAAAAAACTAAAAGGGCTAGGGATGTGGCTCAGTGGTAAAATGCCCCTGGGTTCAATTCCCATTACCAAAAATAAAAAAAAAAGAATAAGATTAAAAAAAAACTAGGTACTTATCATTACATGCAGACATAATTATGCAGCAGTTACATAATTGATACTGGTACCTTCAAAATAGGAGAGGTTCATTAATTGTAAATCAGTGATTATTAATTGTCCTCATGAGGCAGAGAGCACTGGGAGTCCAGGCTCTGTTGCTTCGCACAAGCCGGGCAACAAAATGGAAAATGTCGGGTTCGAGTGGCACCAGAACAAGTGGCTGAAAAGAATTCAGTCAAAGTGATTATTTGGTATCTTACAGAGAATAAAGCCCTGGTTATTTCAATAAATTAAACTGTCTGTTCTTTTAAATTGAATTCAGTCAACCATCCAAGCATGGCAAGCCATTTCCAAAAGTCATTGCTCATTCTTTTTAAACGGTCTTTCGATAAGCCACTTAGCTCAAGGAACCGTGCAGACAGTGTGGATGCGCTCACTGCCTTTCTGTGACAACAAACCTGGCCGTAGCTCAGAAATGAAATTGAATGTGTTGAATAGGCGTGTAGATGAATCACAGAACCTCAGAAGTGGCAGGGACCTGACGGGGGCCAGTCATTAAGTCTAAGTCCCTTGATTCAGAGATGAAGAAAGCAGAACCCAGAGAGGGAACCTGGCCAGCATCCCTCAAGTAAGGGAGAGGTGGAGGTGGCAGCAGGTCCCAGTATCATGACTCCCCAGCCCAGTGCTCCCCATTGCTGCCCCTGAAATCTGTACATAGTAACCATCTCCTGTGCAAAGTGAACTATGGAAGACAATGATGTAAAGTCAACAGCTAAAATGTCTTGAGAGTTTATCATGTGTCCATCTGAGTGTTTTACCTGGATTATTTTACTTAATCCTCATGATAAGCCTATAAGATTGGGTATAATGACCTCATTGAACACAGGGGTGAGAAAACAGAGGCCCAGAGAGGTTGAACAACTCACCTAAGGTCACATAGTAAATGATAAAAGACTGATGCCTTCCCACAGCATATATGTATGTGTGTATATTGCTGAGGTGTGACATATACATAGCTCATACCTCACCCTGAGGCTACAGTAAGGTTTGGAAGATATAAGTCAGGGATCCAAGGAAGATCTGTATAAGTTGCATAATATTCAAGGTGCTTTGGAAAATTCTGAATTACAAAATGAACTTGAGTCCCACATAGTGAAGAAAAACAATATGTCTTTTTACCCTTTTAGTGGAAAACATATGATTTTATGGCTGAAGACTCTTTGCCTCATGTTATTTTCATTGTTTTGATATAATGTTCATGATGTAACACAGATAAATTCCAGTGCCATTTAATCTCAATGAGACAGTCAATGTATATCAAACAATTGCAAAATGCCAGGCATGTGCCAAGCATTTGTATGCATTGTCTTATTTAATTTACCACCATTTTACAGATTAGAAAACAGGTTTAGAGGTGACATATGACTTGCCCAACACACAGTGGCTTTCAGGCATATAGATAGACAGCATTGCTGCATAAATTCCCTAACAAGAAAATTCAAGGATCAGAGATGCTATCAGAAGAAAAACTTTCTTCATCACCAAGGAAATTGATGCAGTCCAACTAGCTTATTGGAAAATATCATTACAACGAAAATTTTGGTATAACACACAGGCTCAAAAACTCAGTGAATGGCCCACTTATTGCAAGCAATATTGGTTTTAACAATGTCCTAGCTAACCAGAAAACCATTCTGTACACAATCTGTACTTTTGTCTAAGTACCAGAAAAATTGAGTGAGATATTTGCCTAATAAAGGGCAACTGTGGGGGCTGGGGTTGTGGCTCAGTGGTAGAGCACTCATCTAGTATGTGTGAGGCACTGGGTTCAATCCTCAGCACCACATAAAAAATAAACAAAATAAAGGTATTGTGTCCATATACAACTAAAAAAGGAATTCTTTTTTTAATAAAAGGGCAACTGTATCTTTTTTATTTTTCTCTTATATAAGTGAATTTAGCTCATAGACATTTAACAGAATTAAAACAACTTGTACTTCCCTTTACATATCCAAATAGATTAATGAAAAATGACTTTCTTATAAGAATTGCCCTTCCTGTCAATCTAGGCCTTGGGAAATGGCAACATCCTGACTCTTAATGTTAGAAACAAATACAAGTTGACACAAAATGTGACCATTAGTGTGAATGATTGATCTCTCTCATGCCCTCTTGGATAAATCCACTTCTTTCTTCTATAAATTTTGACCAGGAAAAGAAGTACCGTTTCCAGAACCAGGTGGACAAGATGAAAGAAAAGGTCAAGAATGTGGAGGAAAGATCAAAGGAGTTTGTTAACAGAGTGGAAGAAAAGAGTCATGATCTAATTCAGAAGTGGGAAGAGAAGTCAAGGGAATTCATTGGCAACTTCCTAGAACTGTTCGGACCTGATGGAGCATGGGTATGTAATTATTTCACTTAGCCCCACAGGAATGAGTGTTTTTAGTTTATCTTCCTTTTCATGGAGCACTATGTCACTCCCTTATTGAGTTATGGCCTTACCTCTCAATATTGTACACAGTAGCACCCAAAGGCAGGGCTGGTTTCTTTCTCTTCTTTGTCCAGAGGTTCCTAGCCATTCAGTAATCATTTTTTTTTAAAGAGAGAGTGAGAGAGGAGAGAGAGAGAGAGAGAGAGAGAGAGAGAGAGAGAGAGAGAGAGAGAGAATTTTTAATATTTATTTTTTAGTTCTCGGCGGACACAACATCTTTGTTGGTATGTGGTGCTGAGGATCGAACCTGGGCCGCACGCATGCCAGGCGAGCGCGCTACCGCTTGAGCCACATCCCCAGCCCTTCAGTAATCATTGAATGTCAGTTATTGCAGAGTTTAGTTCTGTAGCTTATCCAAGTCTCCCAGTTGGAGATGATGTAAAGCTTGAGATTAAGGGTAAGCAGTCATTCACTGGCAGCATGGAGCTTGTGTTGCAAGCCAAGGCCAGTGGCTCTTGGATCAACCACAGGTATTTATGTTTTGGGGAGGAGAATGCAAAATAAGTACAGCTGCTTTGGTTACCTTTTGTTGTCAGGAATCTTCTTCTTTTTTCTTTTGGAAGCGAGAAAGAGAGAAGAGGTAGAATTTTGCCTTGTAGCTGTGCCCATCGTGACCTGACTTTCTTATTTTTTTCTTTTTAAAAATTTTAAAATGTGTTCTAATTAATTATACATGATCGCAGAATGCATTTTGATTCGTTGTACACAATTTCAGCACAACTTTTCATTTCTGTGGTTGTACATGATGTAATGTTGCACCATATGTGCAGTCATACATGTACCTAGGGTAATGATGTCCATCTCATTCCACCATCTTTCCTACTCCCATGCCCCTTCCCCTTTGCTCAATCAAAGTTTCTCCATTCTCCCCATGCCCACCCTCATTATGGATCAGCATCCACTTATGAGAGACAATAGCTGGACTTTTGATTTTTGGGATTGGCTTACTTCACTTAGCATGATATTCTCTAATTCCATCCATTTACCTGCAAATGTCATAGTTTTATTCTCTTTTAATGCTGATTAATATTCCATTGTGTATATGTACCACAATTCCTATTTTTTTCATGGCGTACAAGGGTTAGGACAAATCACAAAATCTTAGGGATTGAGGCCATGAACTGAGAAAAAATATAAATCATCTTCTTGCCTAAATTCTATAGACAATTTTGAATGATAACTATGGAAAGGGAAAAAAAAGAATATTCTGAAAGCCACCTAGATCTCCATTGGTATTTCTACCATGCTTGCCCTTCCTGAGGAAATAACTATTATTGTCAGCAGAACTAAGGAGGATTCTATGAAACAAATACTTTTAATGCTGACTTTCCTTGTAAAACAAAAATACATGATTCCTCTTGCTTTTTCTGATTTTAAGTAGCCTACATTTCCTATTATGATATGAGAAATCTCTAATGAAATCCACACATTGACTTAATTATTTTATTGTTGGGTTTTCACTGCTGCCTCTGCTCGTTTGAGCTCATTCATTATAGGATTATCTAAAAGTAAAACACTCAATAATAGAAAAAGAACAATGTTTGGGAAGAGATGGCTTACTTAAAGCCAAGTGGATGTTATAGGCCAACTTTGTCCTATCTATTTGTCTGAGTTTGAAAAGGAGAGGTGGAAATTTTGCAAGGGCTGTTTGAGCTCTTAGTAACTTCTAGAAAGAGCTGGCAAGAGTGGAAGAGCCAGGTGCTGGATTCCCTTTCATTTTCCTCAGGCCTGTTAAAAATTTCAGTTCCAACAATTTAATCCATGACATTTATTAATGTTCTAGTCTGTGCATGGCACTATGGAAGAACACAAAGATAGACAAAGTAAAGACTCTGTTCTCTGATCTTTAGAACATGAAGTCGAATATTTCTCACTTGATCTCATGCATAACTTAGTGGTTCATGTTTTCACAGTTAACTTTCAGGCTCTGAAGGAATAGCTAGTGGTTTTTTTTAATGAAACCATATAGGTATTCATTTGCTTACAGGGATTCAGAAATGTGTGTCTGCTGAGAGGCCCTCATATTATAATACAAGGGGTAGATGTTTTCTCCACTTGGGGTGAGCAAATGCAGGAAAAGGATATAATTTTGAAGCAACTTTATGGCCCTAGTCCTTTCAAGCACCCAGTGAAGGCAAAATAGTAGCTGGAATTGTTCTTAGGGAGTCTGGTGACAGTGAGCTTAGGTGATTTTTAAGAAATGAAACCCAGCTTAGAGACTGGAGGTTTTTCTTTTTCAAACTTGCTATTAGTGTCAAAACTGTTATTAACATTAATTTACTGTATCAGCCAGACTTAGACATTACTTTTTTCCTGTTGACATTAAAAGTACGGAAATAGTACAAGGATGTTAAAAGCAAGATAAGTAATTTGCTTTTCATGAATATGCTATTATTATAATAATTCTTTATTTGTGGATTTGGGACTGGAACTCATTTCTTAAACTAGAGGATCTGCATTACCTGCAAATACAGTATTGATACAAATTTCCCAAACTTGGAAAGGCACAAAATAGAAGAATTTAAGGTACAAAATTTGATACAGCTGGATCAGTATGCAGCATAATACGTAGCTTATAGTGGGTACTCCATAATGTTTATGGATAAATGGAAATATGAATGAATGGATGTGTGAGATAGACCCATTCACAGAACCCTCTAGCATTTACGAAGGATATGATGAGGACTGAACCTTCTATACCATTAGTTTTTCATTGCTTATGGTGCCAGATTACATTTTTGTATTTGGTGGGTTAAATTCAATAGGCAGATTTAGTTTGCTTTGCTCTCAGCAATATTTTAAAGTTTGTTTTAGAGAGGGCATGAACTTCTCTACTTTTTCATGGTCACCTCATTCCTCATAGCTTCTCCCTGTCCCCCAACCTGACTCACATATTTATGCTGCCCACCTGGCTCCAGGGAATATTTGAATTTGCTCCTTATCCACTGTGGGAGGATACTGCATAAGGAGGTGAATAGCAGGAAGTAGAAACATTGGGGGCCATCTTGGAGGCTGTCAGCCACAATGGCTTCTGAAAATTTAAAGCAAGCAATCTTTGTATGTCTTAAATGCTATAATGGATTATCTTTGCCCACTTATTCAGTTTGATTTGTGAATTATGAAAGTACAAGCTGTTGTTTTCCAATCTCATCACTCTACTTATTCAACTACTTTTGTTGATTCTTCTTCTCTTTCTCCTCCTTCTCATTCTTCTTCTACTGGGGATTGAATCCAGGGGCACTTTACTCCTGAGCTATGTCCCCAACCCTTTTTATTTTTGAGACAGGGTCTCACTAAGTTGCTGAGGGCCTCACTAAGTTGCTGAGGCTGGCCTGGAACTTTCAATCCTCCTGCCTTAGACTCCCAAATAGGGATTACAGGCATGTGCAATTACAGGCATGTGCAATTGCTCCCAGTTTGGTCCTCCTCCTCCTCCTCCCCCCCCCCCCCCCCTCCCAGGAATTAAACCCAGAGACATTACCACTGAGTTAGACCACTAGTCCTTTATATATACATATATTTATATATTTTAATTTTGAGACAGGGTCTCACTAAATTGCCTGGGTTGGCCTCAAACTTGTAATCCTCTTTGCCACAGCTTCCTGAGCTCTAGGATTACAGGCATGCACTGCTGCACCCAGCTTCCTTAATTCTAAGTAGTCGGGCTGGGGATGTGGCTCAAGCGGTAGTGCGCTYGYCTGSCGTGCRTGCGGCCSGGGTTCSATCCTCAGCACCACATACAAACAACGATGTTGTGTCCACCAATAACTAAAAAATAAATATTAAAAAAAAATTCTCTCTCTCTCTCTCCCTCTATCACTCTCTCTTTAAAAAAAAAAAATTCTAAGTAGTCTTGACTCATACTCAGAAAGTATCCTATAACCTAGCCAGAATGGCAAAGGGAAGCCTTCTGTGTTAGTCAGCTTTGTGTTACTATAACAAAATCAGCTTTAAAAGAGGAAAGGTTTATTTTGGCTCACAGTTTTGGAGGCTTCAGTCCAGGGTTGATTGGCTCCATTGTTTCTGTGTCGTGGTGAAACAATACATCATAGCAGGAGTATGTGGTAAAGGAAGCTGCTCATCTCATGGCAGCTGGGAAGTGAAGGGAAAGAGGAAGAAAGGGGGTCCCAGAATTCCCTTTGAGGATTCCTCCCAGTGACAGGAAGTCCTCCCACTAGGTTTCCACCACCTCCCATTAGTGCTATGAGCAGGAGACCAAACCTTTAACAAGTGGGCCTTTGAGGGACATTCCAGACCCAAACTATAGCACCTTTCCAACAGAGACACAGTATTAATTCTCTTTGGTGGGTGTGCTTCTGAAAGACATACTGTCTCAATGAAGGGTCTTTTTCAAAATAGTACTTAGTACTGAGGGTCAAGGAACCTAAGTCAGGAGATGTTGGCCCAGTATTCGGGGTTTGATTTGGGGATATGGTCTTCCCAGCAAAACTTTTTTGTTTTTACTTCAAATATCTGACTTCTATTCAAATATCAGATATTCAACCACAAATGCTGTTTTTAAAAATATTATGTATTATTTTGAATGGGCTGCCCTTGTATTCCTTCATTAACTCTGAAAGCAGAATTCATTCCTGTTTAAAATTAAATGACTCTAATTGATTTTTACCATGCAAATAAATACAGACTCTTTCCTTGAGCACCAGGAGAGAATATTTTTAAGTCAGGAGCAAGTTTTTAATTCATCGTAGACCAGTAAACTCTTCTTGCTCCAGTCCAATCAATGATAGATCCTATGCCAACCAAGCAGGCATGCATCATCTGATATATGAGATTACCCTTTTAAAAATATTCTTTTTAGTTATTTATGGACCTTTATTATTTTTTAATATTTTTTAGTTGTCAATGGACCTTTATTTCATTTATTGATACACAGTGCTGAGAATTGAATG